TTTCTCGTGCGTGCCTTGCATTCAGCGTCTCTTCAAGTTCATCTATGGATTGTTTACAATCCTCTTTTAGTTTTTCGACAAATTCTTCTTGTTGTTCTCTCAGAATCCGCTGGTCTTCCTCAAGTTGTAACTTTTCATCTGTTAGTGTTTCTAAATAATTAAAAATTAGATAAAAAAAGATTAGCAGAGCAAACAGTCTTTCTTTGTTTTAAACATTTATACTCTCACAATCTTCTCAACATTGTCCACAGAAAAATTAAAACAACTTCTATCTTTCAAACTTGTAAATTTGTAAGTGTTGCATAATATGTATAATTGATGCATATATTATCTACTCTCACCTGTTAGAGCACAAGCTTCCTGATACTTAGTTTCCAGTTCATTGATTCTTATTTTTAAGTCTGAACATGAGAACACATCCATCTGAAAATAAGAGTTTTATTGAAATACAGCATTAGAATGGTATATAAAAAAAACTTTTTTTTGACAATTAAAATTTATTTTGTTTAAATGCTTTTCACATAGACCTATATATTTTCAGTATAATTAATATAATTTAATCATGTGACTTATTTGCAGACTACAATATTTGCCTTGAACTCAATTGTTGGTCATTTTGACATTAATAAGCAAATCTGAAATTGGCCAGAGACAAACTCAACATTTAAGACGCCATGTTCTTCCTTTATCTACGATATATTTATACATTCATAATCATCAATATTATTATTCATTTGGCAATCAAAGTTTAGGACAAAACCACAGATTTATGCCGTGAAAGATCCTGAGCCAGAGTGCACTAAAGTTATATAAAAATAAAAGATCACAAACACAATATGAATATTTGAAATATTTATTACATATGCATACTAATGAGCTTATCATATATACATATTTATAAATTAAATTATATGGATATTAATGAGCTTACACATGCATATTAAAACTAATCAGAGTATTATTAAGATTATATAATGCATCTTAGTTAGCTTAATATATAAATATATTATGCACATAATATGAATATTATAAATGCATACTAATGAGATGATTATGCATATTAATGAGCATCTTTATTATGCATATTAATGAGCTTACATCATGTGTGAGGTGCTGTAGTAAAATAGCAAAAGCATCAAATCCCGCGAGGCCTGTCTTCAACTGCATCTTGGTGAGATTCAACTCGATTCGCAGAGAGCTTCCAACCGCTTGATCTCCTCCGCTGCTGTCTCGTTCGCTATGGAGGTTGACAGAAGGTCAGGCGGTGTTGAGGTCGGAATTGTAGGTTTGATTTTAGTTGGTTTGGCGACTGCTTGGTTGGGATCTATCAAAAAAATAAAATATATTTAGCACTATAGACAGACAAAACATTAAATGTCATTTTCATGTTTAAAATATCATGTAATATCGTGTAATATCATGTAATATCAGTTTTCACTATTGTGCTGCCAGCTGCCTCCCCATCAAAATTCACCACTGACAAATTCATTGAAAAAAAATCATGCATAAAAACAATAAGGAAATATAAAATACAGTAATAGCACAAGTAGGTGAGGAAGTAATGTTATTTTATCATCGGTATCAGATTATCTTACTCATCATCATTATCATCAAGATTTATAATGAGTATTAAGGAAGACTCAAGCTAAAAAAATAGAATGCACTTAATAAAGAATATTAATTAATTATAATGAATTATTTTCAAGAAACCCATACAATGCAATATTTATTGTGTAACAATACTCAAATTTAATGCATGTAAAAACACATTCCAACAAACCATTATAAACTGCCTGTCTACAGACATACGACCTTCGAACTTTGGATTTTGGTTTAATTCCCTTGACAACCAAACATATTTTAATAACTGTGCGTGACAGATAATGTTTTGGTCGACGTGCCATCTTCACTGATCCTTGTTTATTCATGATAAAACACAAAAATCAATCCTTTACAAATCTATTGAAATCACTTATCTTTGCGATAAACTATTATGCGGCAAATTGCTTTGTGTAAACTACAACCCTGAATTTTGTTATAGATGATAAGTTGTCAGTCTGATTGCCAACAGTTACAAAGATGATTGAAAGGAAGTAATTAATTTTCCAGCTTTTTTATCCACATAATCCACCAGACGATACTTTCCCAAATTCTGCGAGTCAGCAGTATACGATTTATCAAAATATGAGTTAAAAGAAAGTTGCTAAGTTTTTTTTCCTAGAAAAAATCCAGAAAATGTTATTTGTGACACTAACCCTGCTATTTCTTTGAATGCAAACTATAAATCCTGAAACTGTGCACTACTAAAACAATAAATTCAAAATGTCACAGATATATAGAATATGTTTGAAATTCAGATCAGATTCAACTTGTCATTAAAATCCATAAAATCTTCAGTATTTAAGAATCAAAAAATCCAATTCAATAAAGTATAATCATATTATTAGATCCTGTCTTGCATACTATTTTTACCGTGTCAAGATCATCATCTTTCTGTCTGTAATCAAAAGCTATCAATTGCCAAGTACAGATGAACACATATTAAATAATTCATGATTCATTCGTTGGTTTTACTGATGTTCAATAATACTTCTTTGTGTGGATTTAACCAAATATAGATGCAGGATAAAAAATGCCAGCAGGAGTTAATAGCTCATACTAGAGCTGTGCTGTGCATGTTGGATAATCCAATCAAACTACAACATTCCCTCAAAATTCTACAATGAAATTATAGATTGCATAATAAGTATTACTACCAGGAAATAGAAAACAATAATTGTTAAATTTTTTCCTGTTTGTTTATATATAGAACATTTATGTATTATATCTCAGCGATAGGATGGAAATTATCACATACAAAGCAACAACAATTTGGAAATTGAACTGTAAATAAATTGGCAGTAAATTAAGGATGATACTTAAAAGATTTCCTGGAGATGAGTAGCTGGTAGTAAGCAATGGCATTTTTTTTTTTTTTTTAAGAATGTTCAATGCAATTATTTAACCTTGCTTTAATTGCTTCAAAAATGTTCTTTCTTGTCTTTAAATTTAAAAACTAATGAATGACTGCAAACAGTAATATCTTAAGACCTAAGACTTTACAACAGAAATATTCAAGGAATTAGTTTTCCAGGTTGGGGTCAAAGGGTAGATTGACACCCCAACTGCAAAAACTAGGAAGCATACAATAAAGGTGACTGTGATAAGCACTCAGTAAGTTGTAAGTAATATCTCAAGTAGCTCTTAAGTACTTTTATATTTTTGTATTATATTCTGGATGCACCAACAATGTTGAGGCTATCGGCACTGCGGCAGTGCCAAAAAAAGCTGCTGTTTTCTATCGGCACTGCCGCAGTGCCAAAAAGCTGCCGTTTTCTAACGGCACTGCCGCAGTGCCAAAAAGTTGCTATTTTCTATCGGCACTGTCACAGTGCGAAAAGCTGCTGTTAATTAATCGAATCGATGTTTTTATCGATAGATGACATTGGTGTAATTCATAATTCATAATTTTATTTCACTCAAAACGTAATGAGACTGGTTAGGCAAAAACATGTCTCTGTACAAGATGCCTACCAGAGAAACAATGATAATGTTAATGGCAAAGACATAATAATAATAATAATAATAATAATAATAAATAAATAATAATAAAAAGTAAATGATGATAATAATAATGAATGAAGATCAAAATATATCATTGAAGTGAATTCAGTTATTTATTAAAACAAGATTTGGGGGGCTGGACTGTCATGAAGGTGTTGTATTAATGATGTTCTAAATATTTGCCTTTATTATATCAATAATTGATTAGGTCTAGCTTAGCCTATATTATTGTTAACATTATATTATANNNACATTATATTATATTTATTTAACAATTAGTTTAAATAATTATTTATAATTAAATTATTAAATGTATACAATATATATTATATAGGCCTAGGCATATACATAAAACAAAAAATAAACAAACAATAATAATAATAATAATAAAAATAATGATAATAATATTACGATAGTTTAATTAATGAAATAGTAATAATCAGCATATTAAATAACATTACGTCCATGCTAAACCTGCTTTTAAATAGAAACGTTATCTATTTGATTCTGTTTAAAAAAATAATCTTACAAATTATAAGTTTATTTTCTGCGATAATTTTATGCACATATGCATATTCATGTTTTCAATGTTAATCTGGTTGATAAATAATATATTAAAAAAAATAAATAATAATAATAATAATAAAGGTGTTCGAATAATGCTTTAGTGAATAATTAATACTTCAATAATGCTTCAATAGGCCTATTTACGATAATGTGATTAATGAGATAATTGTTGATTAAGTTATATAGAAATAATAG